TTTGGGCGGGCCAGCCCCTTTGGCCGTCCCCCGGCCCGGCCTCCTTGGGCGGGGGGGAAAGGGGCGTTTTTTCCCTTTTTCTTTTAAAGCCCCGGTCCTCCCCTTTTTTTGGTTCCTTTTATTGAAAATCCCCCCCCCGAGGGGGCGGGCCCCCGGAGCTGGGGGTCGCTTCTGGAAGGGGGCGTTGCACTTGGAGCCCCCCGCGGCCCATGCGGGCGCCGGCGAGGTTCGACTCGACAGAGTGTTCGGGCATGAAAAGGGTGCCGCCGCCTGTTTTCTTGTTAGTTTTTGTTTTTTTGGTCACATTGTTCCCAATGCTCCTGACATACCACGGTGGGCAATGCTCCAAGCAGAGGGCTTGAACTCCTTGATGTCCTTGCACTCCTCGAGCTGCTTCTTCACGGGGCTGTCGCTCATGTCGTCGACGAGCCAGTAGGGGCGAGGACCAAGCTGGATGCTCTCAATGGGCTTGTACTTGGGAGGCGGCTTGCACGGCGAGGCAGCCACCTGGGTGGCGGCCACAAGGCCTGCGACCAGGATGGAGTTGACGAGCATCTTGACGACAAGCTGTGAAGGGGTGGATTGACTTGTTACAAGAGTCAACTGGCTCAATTGACTTGCTGACTGATCAGAAAATCCGTCCCAGAGCAAGCAAGAGCAAGCAAGAGCAAGCAAGAGCAAGCAAGAGCAAGAGGAAGCGGTGGAGGAGGAGCTGCGCGGGAGGAGGCGGGAAAAAAGCTACCGTCAAACTACAAGACGCGAGGGACAGGCAACGGAGGGGCGGGTGAGCTCAACATGTTATGCTGCGAGCACAACACCCAGGCAAGACTCGAGTACCCAAGGCAGGGTACCTTGGTGACCGGCGCGCCGGTCGAATCGCAAGCTCGGTGATCGACCACATGCTGCACCAACGTCATTATACGACAGGTTGGATAGAGGTCGGAGAGAAGAGCGGTCTCAAGGCCGTAGAGCATGCTTTGCGTTAGCACGTGGGGTTGGCATGCCTTGGACATCCTGGGAGGTGTGTGAGGGGTATGGGCCGGGCTGGAGGGTTACGACAAGAAGCGGGAAACGAGATTTCTGGCAGCCTTGGGGGAGAGCGGGACGGCGGCAGTCGTCGGCGGCGGCACCGAACAGGTAGAGGTAGGATCGCTGTCTACAATCTTGTGCGTCAAGGCTGGCCAGTCTCGTCTTCGTTGCCAGGTGACCTCGGCGAACGGAGGCCTGCAAAGTCGAGCGCCTCGCTGATCGACGCTTGCGTTTGGGAGCTTGAGCTTGAGCTTGAGCTTGAGCTTGAATTCGAGCTTAACCTTGAGCTCAACCTGCTGCCATGCCTGCTGCTCGGACGGCTGGGGACGGGTTGACCGACAGATCGGCAGGGGTGCTAGTGCAGACGGCGCGGGGACAGCGTGCGGCCGCCTGGCGCTGTCATTCGCTGTCACGGGCTTCACTGACGTCCTTGACGTTGCGCCCTCGACGTGACTGGCCGGCTTCTTGGCCAGTGCAAGGCATCGGCTCGTCAGCTGGTGCCTTGGTGCCTCGAGGCGCCGACCACGATGCACATTATCTGTCAAGGTAGAAGAGGGAACATGGCCGAAGAGGAGGCGAGAACGAAGAGAGGCTGGTTTGAGCATGGACATGGTGGGACGAGGGTAGCATCAAAATTGGTACGGGCATCTGTAGATTCAACTACCTCCAATACCCTGCCTACGCAACTGCCCGTCGTTGTGATCATCAAAGTCGCACTTGCAAGGTATCCATCGGATCGCAGTCGCAGACACGTGCTAATGGTAGTGGCAATGCAAAAGGCTGTCTGCCACACCCGCACCACAATTCCCTCGTCAACCCCCCCATCCTGCGCCAGAATGAAATCAAAAGGAAAGAAGCAGAACAACCTTGCCTTGCTCCGGGGAATATCCAGTCTTGCATCAGTCGTAAAGTCAGCGAAAAAAAGGGGGTATCTCTCCAGCCATCAACCGCACTCAGGCACTCGTTCATCTGCCGTCGTTTGCCGCGTCTTCATATGCTCTATGCTCAGGCATTGGGCGATGCGCTCAGAGCGCTCGGAGCGCTCAGACACCGGGGTAGGTGGCGCCGTTGCTGTGGCCAGCCTTGGCGTGCGAGGTCGAGTGGCCGCGCGAGCGCATCACCGTCATAATGTCAAGCACCAGCAGGCCCGTGAAGATGGCCCAGATGAAAAAGGCAAACGCGACGGCCGCCTGGGCCGAGCCGCACCACGAGTTGTCGCACTTGGGCGTTCCCGTCCACGTCGCGAGCGCGATGGAGCCCGCGAACCAGAAAATCGTCGTCACAGCGACGAGGCCGAGCGAGACCAGCTGGTGAAAGAGGCGCTCCATGAACATGGGCGTCAGGATGAGGTAGGCCAGCACGAGCAGCGACCACACGCTGCAGAAGATGATAAAGTTGACAATGTCGGGCGAGTGCCACCAGTAGGCGCTGGCGACTGCGAAAAAGCAAAGTCAGCACGGTTCCTGGAAACCAGAGAGCAGCGCAGCGCAGCGCATTGGTGAGGGCCGAGAGCAAACGTACCAAAGCCGGACAGACCAAGCTCGATGATGCAGAATACGACTGCTACGATCTGAGCGATCGTCACTAGGCCGAGGGAAACCATGGTGGATGAGACGTCGGGGTCGTGTTTTGTGGGTATAATGCGGGTGGCCGTCGGTGATGCAGGGTTCTTGAGGACGAGTGTGCGTTTTGAGTCGTGTGATCGAAAGAGGCCGGTCGTGATGGTCGCTCAAGTGGGCGTCGCGCTCTCAAGAAAGACGTAGAAGGAGCCAGCTGCACCAGAGGGCCAAGATGCGAGACGCGTTGTCGTATGTTGTATGTAGGTATTATTAGAATCGTCAAGGTTTGTCACGTTCAGAATGACAGGAGTCGAGCCTGGGAATGCGGAGCTGGAGGCAGCTGTCGGGCCCGTGGAATTAAGTAGTGTCGCAGGCCCTGACGAGACTGCCCCCAAGCCGCGTCACAGCCGGAGTCAGGGTCAAGGTCCTACCTGCGCATCCTGCCCTTTCCCGGGCGTCAGGTGCCGATGCCCACTGCCCATGACCACTGCCCATGCCCACTGCCCATGCCCACTGCCAACTGGCCGTCGCTCTTTCACTGCGTACGCGTCGGCCAACCACGATCCAACTTGGCTCGCCCATGTCGTGAATCACTCGATGGAATCGCCCTCGGCCCCTACAATCGCAGTGCACGCCAGCCCTGCCATCGCAACCTTAGCACCTGCTGTCGTGGCCTGGAACGGCGAGAATGACGTGGGCTCACGGCTCCCGAGAAAAAAAAGGGTAGCGACTCCAAGCTGGCCGATGACCTCATACGCAGCCCACCCGCGCCTCAGCCCAATCAGCAACAGCAGCAGCACTCCCCTGTGAGAGCGCTAATCATCAGCCACACTGGGCCCGGCGGTGGGGGGCAAAGGATGCAGGACTGAATGACGGAAAGCAGCACCCATTTCGTCGTTTCACCGCGCCTCCCTTTCCGTCGTCGTCAAGGACTCAAGGGAGGCAGCGACGGTGCGAGGCAAGAATGGGCAAGAGGCACGGCCCCGTGGGTTGCGTGCCTGCCTCCTAAGCCTTGCCTCGTCCCTTTCTTTCTTCGCTGCACCAGAAACCAAATGAAGCAGACGAGTCGGACTCCAGTGACTCGTGTCTTATTCTCGCTCCCTTGGTGTCAACACAGACGGCATCGGCACGCTTCTTCAGCCCACATCAGTCTTGGGTGTCCCTTCACATATTCACGACCTCTTGGCCCAGCGAAGCCCAGCGAAGCCCAGCGAAGCCCAGCGCCGAGGATGGGGTGGGATGACGCGAAGGACACCGCCCATGGTCGCTGAACCCTACGAGCCCTGCCAAACTGGCCACGCACCTGTCGATGCTAAGCCCTTAGGGGTCGTGATCCTCCAGCGGTCTTACGCGTCACTTCTTGGCCGATGTCCCGGTCTTCCGGCTTGACCACTGCCATCAAGGATCCGGCAGGCTTCCGAACCCGACAAAGAAAACGACAGGACACGCCGGGTTGTCCGTTTGTTCACTTGAAGGTTGCAAAGCCCGCGATTGAGCTCGCGCGGACACTAGGCCGGTACGGTCCCGCAAGCGCCATCCGCCGTGCCCCCGAAGCGCAAGTGCCGGAGGATTTAGCTCTTGACATGCCCTCACGGCGATTCACACGATGGCTTTCCTCGACAGGCCGGCTACCAAGCGTCACAGATGCTTCTTGACAGGCCATGAAGGGCTGCAGCGTCGCAGTGACATATGAGAGCATCTACAGCTCTGTTGACAGTATCTGGCGTTTGCTGCATCAAGGCATCGGATTGCGTCAAGCATCAAGTTCTCCCCGACCCAAATGAGGACAGACATCATATTTCTCATTTTCGGGGCAACAATTCATCAATTGCCTCGTTGGCTTAGTGGTAAAGCGCATCACTAGTAATGATGAGATCACTGGTTCGATTCCAGTACGAGGCACTCGCATCCACTAGGATATCTTTTTGTCCTTCTCCATGGAGAACCATCTCTTTTCGAGGCCTCGGTTTCGGATCAATCCCCTCGCCATTCGACAAGAAGAATCCTACATGCATCTTGTGCGGCGCCAATGTTTTCTGAGACCTCATGTTGTCTCGTTGTCCTCACGCTTTTGCCTCCAGAGCGAGCGATTCCAGGGCAAGCGATTGAGCAATCCCACCCCAAAATCCCGACAACAGTGGGCCGAAAAAGTGATGGCGTGCCTGGATCCTGGTCATGGGCAGCACATGGCAGCAAGGGTCCGGATCTGCGGAAACCTTTAATTATTACGTGACAAGACTGTGTCAACAGCTTATCTCTCAAGTCGTTGCGTCGCATCGATATCTGATTGAGTATGATGCGCCTCAGGGATACGGACCTACCATGATTCCCATTCACGCGCAATCATGGCCATCTTTATTTTCGCTGTGTCTCATCATGCACATGAAAGCTCTGGAATAGCCTCCCTCGAAGGGCTCATGAGAACGGCAGAGGCGCCGACTACCAGCTTGCCACAAAGCCGTTGCCAAGCCCTCCCCCCCTTTAGGGGATGGCCAACTGCACCAAACAAACTGGCCGCCGGCCGGCTGGGACGGATGTTATGGGAGAAGTACGATGACAGACGCTGCAGGTGGTCAGTGAGTGACCCCAGGCGTGGCGGCCAGGTACCCAAACATGGCGAGGCAGACCAAAGAGGCATGGACAGTCCGGGTGATGGCGTTCACCATCGGTGATATGACTTTTACTCCCTGACGACATGGTTCATCAACGGTACATGGGTGCCGGCTCTGGAAAGGATATTACAGTCTCGAGGCAGCCGCCATGTGTCTCGGGGCTACAGGTTTTGACTTGGGCGTCGAAGCACTATCGAAAGATTTGCGCGGGCGTTCGCAGCTACACCCCAGGGAGACTTGTTGTGTTCACCAGGGCACGGTGAAGAGACAACGTCGTGGTTCAAGAGCAATAGCGCACTTACTCTAGCTGGGCCCGACCACATACATCGTGGTACGGCGGTGTGCGAAGATGCCATCACAATCGGTCCAAGGCTGGCCTCAGTCGCGTGTTCTGACAAGCCATTCAAGCCCCTTGTTCGCAACGCGGGGCCAGACGGCCGTGGGTAGCACGACAGGACACCCCCATGGAGCGACCCTGGTGATAGGCACGCCGAGACCCCAGGTAGCGATAACCTCCCGCGGTCTTGGGCCCGTGGTCCGAATTTGCCTTCCCAAAAAGCAACGAAAGTCTAACGGCGGGGCGTGTCATCGGCGGCGGGGCCATGCAGGAGACTCGAGACTGGCCATGGGTGTGGGTTCGTGAAGCTGTCACTGAATGGTGGGCGCGGGCGGGAGAAAAGGAAGCAGCTAGGGTGCCAAGCACTATGGAGGCGAAGTCGAAAGCAGAGGCGACAGCGAAAGAGAGAGAGAGAGAGAGACAGAGAGAGGGTAACAGCAGCATCTGACAGCACGAGACAAGCGGGCGCCGATAACGATCGAGGCCAGTGTCATGGGGTATGTAAGGAGCCCCCTCTCCTTACTCGCAGCGGCGCCGGCTGCTCGTCGTCTTGATCCTCTGACCTTTCTCGTTTCCGACGTTGTTTGTCTGAAATCAGCGCATAGTTTGTATTGTTTCCGTCGGCAATCGTTCTCATCCAACAAAGCGCAAGAGCAGCGCGCGCTGAGCACCCGACGTTCCATCGCGAACCGAAGAGTTGGGACAGCCCCGACCCCAACACTGTCGCCGCTTTACTGGTTCAAAAGATCGACTAGCACCCGTCTTTAATTCACTGCGGATCGCCTCCCCGGACCCTCACTGTTTTGCTGTAAGTTGGGCATGGACAGGCCGATCACGCTCCGCTTCACTCTCTCTCCCTCTCCCAACGACTATGACGAACTGGTCCCCAATGTCATGGCCCAGATCAATGCTGACGCCGACAGCTGCTGAAGTCACGACGGACGCCCTGTGCTTCCCCCTCGTCCTGCACCCCGGCCCTCACGGCCAGTCAAAGGAACGAAAACAGAAGCCCCCCGAACACAGCGGGCGCAACAACGGGTCAGACACCCGCACGGTAAGCCGGACAGGCACTAGATCACTTCACAGCCAAGCTGCGATTGGCTTCGGCACGCGGCAGCTGCCACAAGATCCACAACCAAGCGGGCGCCGGGGATGCACCTTTGAAGTTGTTGCAAGCCGCCTACCACCACGACCCTCGTCACGTCGCATCGCCAACAGGAAGAAAGGAAAGAAGAAAGCCAGGCGGGACCCTCGGTCAAGACTGGGATCCGTTCCTTTGAGAACCATTTTTTCCCCCAAAAGTCGAGCGGCAGCCTCGCTCGTTCCATTCATTGCGACCGACTTGTCAGCCAGACTGTGACGAACCGCAGACACCGCCAGAAATCCTCGCCTTCTGGGCTTCAACTCGCTCACCATGTCTGGACGTAGCGCTCACGTGCGCAAGAAGATCAACACGGAGGCCACGAAGGACGGCAAGTCAGCATCGCGGAGTCGAGCCAAGTCAGCCGCCAGCCACGACCGCGACGATGTCACCATTTCCGACTTTCCCATGCCCGGGAATTCCCTTCCTGTTGGCACCGGTGTCGGCACGACCAATGCGCGGTTCCTGAAATTCTCGGAGCCCGCGCGAGACATGGACCACGGCTCGGACCTCCGCAACATCAGCACAATGAGCATCAGCAGCGGCGGTAGCGGAGCCAGCGCCGAGCGCAGAGACCAGCATGACTACGGCTATCGGGGCCCGAGGAGGCCCAATCTTAAGACGGAAGACGTTTCTGGCATTGAGAAGTCGGGGTTTCGAAACATCCTCGACAAGAAGAGCGATGATGTCAGGAAAGGGCTCGCCAAGACGTTCACGTTCAGGCGGAAGGACAAGGAGGAAAGGCGCAGCAGCGTAGACCAATCTTCCGAGCATCGGCCCAACTCGGTCGCGACGGTGCGACCACAGGCCTACAGCGGCAACAACGAACCAGAACCGCGCGTGTACGAGGGCATCATCGGGAGTGGTCCTTATGCCCCCGGGCCGGTGCAACGACAGCAACAACAGCAACAACAGCAGCAGCAGCAGCAGCAGCAGCAGCAGCAGCAGCAGCAGCAGAGCCTGGCCCAGGAGCAGCCAGCCCCGTGGGAAGGCCCTACGGCGATGGTGCCACCACCAACCAGCAAGCTGCCGCCCATTCCACCGCCGACGATGGCGCCAGCTATCAGGCGCTGGATCGGCGGCGGAAGGCCGGTACAGCGCTGGAACAAACTACGCAAGGATCCCGAGCTGTGGGATCCCAATGGCGATGTGCTCATCTTCTTCGGACACAAAGGCCAGACGCCGCGACCGAATCCGTCCTTCCGTCTGTCATCGCACATCATTGAGGCGACAGAGTCACGTCAACTGATTACCATGCTGCGAGAGGGGTCTACCGAAGAGGATATTTACCTGCCTCCCTCGCCACTTGGCGCGCCGCCCATGCTACGCTTCGACGGCCGGCGCGGTGGCCAAGCGACGGGAAGGGGAGGGCATCCTACGCCACCCGTGTCGGAGGACAACAGCTTCGGCGAGGCAGACGGCCAGATCTCATATGAGATGTACTTTCCTACGCCTTCGAATATGAACAAGACGGATCAACTACGCCACCACATCACGACGCGCAATGTCTTTGCTTTGCTTTACCATGCGTCCATTGTCGGCATCACTTTATGCCAAGCCCTGACCGACCTTCATATCCGACTCAATGCCTACCTCCCTGCTGATGCCGACAACGTCTCGACTATCATCAAGTACCTCACGGCACGAGGCATCGATGATGTTCGCAACGACGCTGAAACGGCAGTCGGTCTTTTGGCGTGGTCAGAGGGCGCCGACGTGCGGTGGGAGGACGGGTGGAAAGAGAGCTTTCCCCACTGCGCCGGCATGTACAACCAGCTGGAAGAGTGTGCCGACTTCAAGAGCCTCACGCCGATTACCAGGGCGCTTCTGGAGCGGGCATGCCTCGAAACACAGTTGCGGGTGCAGGCTGCCGAAGAACGCCTCGTGGACCTGCAGATCCACGACATGTGGCCAACTTCGGGCCCCCTCGCCCAGAGTCCGGCCAAGGCGGCTGCAGACAGGCTGCAAAAGTTTCTGCTTGGTCACTACACTCGCATCTACGGATGCTGGCCGCCGCCGCCGCAGCAGCAGGAAGAGGAGGACGACGAAGACATGTGGCTCACCCGGGGCGTCACGCAGGCGCTGCAACGCGATTTTGGGGCACTGTACGACTATCTGGTCAACCGCGACATTGTCTGGGATGGGTCGGAGGCGCGCGCCGGACGGAAATGGATCATGGTCAGCGAGTCAGGCAACCGTGGGTTCGATGCGGATGACGCTGAGCTGCCCATGACGGACATTCTTGTCGAGTTTGACAACCGCATGCGCTTTCCGAGGATCCCTCACCCATACCCACTCGTACCAGAGTCGATTCCGCCGACTGGCGGCGGTGGAGGCGGTCGAGAGGGATCGTCGTCCATGTTCAAGAGCTCGCGCAAGTCGACGGCGTCTACTTCGAGGGGCGGAGCACTCGAGAGGCGGGTCCAGCTGGCGTACACAGAGGCGACAAATATCTACATTCTCGGCTCTGAGTTTACGCAATCAGATCTCATCGATGGCTTTGTCAAGTTTGAGAAGACAGATGCCGTGGGTGAGGTGGATCCTGCTGTCGCGAGACGCGGACGGTGGGTGCTCGTGTACGGAATCCTCCAGATTCTGGCGAGCATTTCGGTCGATGCGCCGGGCGTGCGTTACCGCGACGACGTGACCTACCATCTGTCGGTGCGACTCCGCGGAGCCAAGGTGCCACCGTGGAAGGGCGCCTCCGGGTCGACGTCACAGGTTCGGAGCATGGAGGAGGCGGCGCATGAGCTGTCGCACTGCTGGATCGCGCCGCGTACGTGGAAGGGCGAAGATGACGGAGGGCCGCCGTCGAGTAGTGGGGGCAGAAAGCTAAGGAGGCTCGGATAACTTGATCTCGGGTCTCTGCGGACGGACATTTCTTCGGTATCGGCCTGGCCTGGGGGCCTGCTCCTGGACTATCAACACAAGACAAGGGACACCACGGCATGGGACGGTCGCCGCAGTCATACGCAGGAGGGTACAGCTCAGGTCCAAGTGTCACGAGCGAGAGCGACGGCGGTATGAGCCGGGCTTCGAGCAGGATGGGAAGTCGTTATGGAGGCGGTGGTCCCTCGAGCGCGGGGTCACAGTATGACCGGGGCGGCGACGTTGAGCCGCCGTCGAGAAGCCGAAGACGGGACCATGGCGATGGCGGAGCGGGGCGCTCTTCGCTGGCCGTCATGTCCGGAGGCAGCGGGAGGGACGAATACGGTATGAGCTCTGGGCGGTCGCCGAGGATACGGGACTTTGACCTGGATGTGATTGATGATGCGGAGCCGTAGACTTGCCAGCCATTCATGGAATATCAACGTGTGTCATGTTGAGAGGATACTGCCTGGCCCATGCGGCCGATGGAGCTATGCGTTGGGAAGTCATGAGGAGCGGCTTGCGCGTTGAATCTTGTATCAAGATATATACTTAACCCTAATACCAAGCGAGTTGGGTGTGGAAAGCTGGCGAACTGTGATGCTATTGACGGTACTTGCTTGATTGTCTGCCATGGGCTCTCTCCTGAACGGCACGATAGTACATGCGACTGATCGCGAATATTCAGACGTAAACTAACATGATAGTTGTTCTTCGCATGTAAGTGACAATAAGAGACTTTCTGTCTTTGGCAGCCTATTGCTCGTCCTTGCCTGTTTCTGGGTGCCCCTGATTCACTGCGTGTTCTATGCCCAGTGAGCAGCAGTAGTGAATGTAGGCAGGCAAACGGCATGAACGTGAGTGAATGGATTGCATAACTTTTGATTACTTCTCTTCTATTTAAGGCCTTGTCTCCTGCTCCTTTCGATCCATCACGATACAAGTCTCGATCATCCTCGCCAGTCACTTGCTCCGTAACTGCACCAGTCAACTTGACCACAACCTGCTACCTCTTCCGCCAACACAGGTACCACGACCCCTCCACGATGGACGACACGGTCGACCTCGCCGAATACCTCTTCACGCGCCTCCGGCAGATCGGCGTAGGCGCCGTCCACGGCGTCCCGGGCGACTACAGCCTCGCCTCCCTCGACCACGTCCAGCGCGCAGGCCTGCACTGGGTCGGCAACGCCAAACGAGCTTGAACGCAGGCTACGCCGCCGACGGCTTACGCGCGTCTTCAAGGGCGCCGGCGCCCTCGCCACCTCGTTTGGCGTCGGCGAGCTGTCCGCCCTCAACGCCGTCGCCGGCGCCTACGCCGAGAAGGTGCCCGTCGTGCACATCGTCGGCGGGCCGTCGCGCGCCGCCCGCGCCGCCCGCGCGTGCCTGCACCACTCGCTCGGCGACGGCGACCTGGGCGTCTTCGCCGCCATGTACGCGGCCGTCACCGTCGCCCAGGCCCGGCTCGACTGTCCCGCGACGGCGCCGCGCTTGGTGGACGAGGTGCTGCGGGCGTGTCTCGTCGAGAGCCGGCCCGTCTATATTGAGCTGCCGTCCGACATGGCCGCTGCCCAGGTGCCGAGGCCGACGATGCCGGCTGCTATCTTTCCTTCGACGACCTCGGAGGAACTCTATGCTTGCAGGGCCCATATCTTGTGTTTTATGATCGCCGAGGCCGAGAGGCCCATGATTCTGGTCGACGGCTTTACGGCCCGCTTCGATATCCGAGAAGAAATCAACGAGTTGGTCCGAATCTCGCAGATCCCGACGCTGACGACTCCCTTCGGCAAAGGCATCGTCAACGAAACGCTGCCAGGCTACAAGGGAATATTTTGCGGAGCCATGGGAAACAAGGAACTCCAGGACTGGGTCGACGGCTGCGATCTGGTCCTTCACTTTGGGCCGCTCCGTTCTGACGTTAACACATTTGGATTCAGTGCGCGAACAAATGCGTCCAAAACTCTCTTCTTTGAAAAGAACGCAGTCGAACATGACGATTCTACGAATCTTCTCCTACTGAACGAGGTATCAGCAACAAAACTACTCGTGCAGTATACCGTGGATATATATGAAGCGTGCATTGCGGTCAAGACCTATCCATGCCCCCCCCATCAGAAACCTCCCCATGGACCTGTTGAAGGAGCTACCAGCACCAACTTCCAGTTCGCCGGTGGACCAGCAAACCTTTTGGCTTCGCGTGTCCCGCCTGTTTCGCCCAGGCGACATCATCCTCACCGAAACGGGAACAGCCTCCTATGGAGGACAAAGCTTCGTCCTCCCAGAAAACACAATTCTCATCAACTCTTCCCTCTGGCTGTCCATTGGCTACACGCTGGCAGCCGCCCAAGGCGCTGCGCTCGCCCAGAGAGAAATGTTTCAAGCCGGGGACCGGCCGCACGGAAGAACCATCCTCTTTGAAGGCGAGGGAAGCCTGCAAATGTCCGCTCAGGCCATAAGTGATATGATTCGGAACCGTCTTGACGTTATCATCTTCGTCATCAACAACGGCGGCTATACCATTGAGCGTCTCATTCATGGGTTCAGCGCAAGCTACAACGACGTCCAGCCATGGAGGAACCTCGAGGCCCCGTCTTTCTTTGGGGCTCCCCGAGATGATCTCCTGTATCCGGTCAGGACCAGACGGGTCCAAATATGGGGCGATTTGGAATCTGTGATGCAGGACCTAGGCATACAGAGCGGAAAGGGCATGAATGTGATTGAGGTTTTCATGGACGCAGCTGATGCGCCTCAGTCCCTGAAGAACATTGCTGATTATGTTCGGAAAGAGAACAAAGCTGATACTGCAAATGGCTGTCAGACGGAGGCCGAAGACTCTCAAGATAGCGACATTTCTTGTTAGTTGAGCGGGTGAAAATGAATGCCCCGAATGGGTTGAGAGCAAGAGAAAAGAAGCTTGGGGGTAGATCGAACCTACAAAGAGGGGATCCACTAAAATTTCAATAAATTGCTTCGTGCTCATGAATGTGTCCAGGCCGGCGCGATTTCCAACTTCGCGTCACCTGAGATGCTGCAAGTATGGGGTAAGATTCCAGACATCGCATAGAGGGCGAGTGAGAAGCGGGGTATTGAGTGTGCTGAAATAGCCCTCTTCACCATCTTACCACCACGACACACCTCACACAAGTACACACGACGCAATTACTACGAACCCCAAAAATGTCACCGGTAGAGAGTTGGCTGTGCGCCATCTGCCGAGAAGCGATCCAGGGGAAGAGTGACGGCCTTACAAATAGCGGGGCCACGCCTGCTGGTCAGTCTTTGGAACGGTTTCGAAAGGCTGCGGCTGACAACTGCTTTGTCTGTCGCAAGTTAATTGATCTCAGCGAGGAGCATCGAAAGGCGTGGGATCGTCTTGACCCCGAATCCTGGAGGCCTTTCGATTATGCCACATTTCATAGTACCATCGGGGGGGGCGGGATCCTGGTTTAGGTTCTCGGTCATCTTCGATGACCCAACCGCGGAGGGAGGCGTGCAGCTCATGGACGTTAGCTTCAGGTTGATCCCCTCACAAGGTATGTTTACGCTTGTGAGAAGAGCCTCGTACAGAAGTTTCTGAACATTGGGAGGCAGCGAGTCCGAAGAGCTCTTTGTGTTCGCCGAGCTTGAGGGCAATACCGGCTCGGCGACAACTCTCGACACGGTCTATGCCTGGTTCAGTGAATGCTCGTCCCACCACCAGGAGAGGTGCAAGAATCCTCCCACATCGACCGATGGATGGCTACCAACACGTCTCCTCGACGTTGGAGCTAACAGCGCCTCGCATTGGAAGCTTCTGATCAGCGATATCGACCTGAGAGGAGGGCCTGCCCCTGCTTATTTAACCCTCAGCTACCGATGGGGGACGAATCCTCAGCATGCGCTCTTGCTTTCGTCTACTCTTGACCAATATCGCAAAGGAAGCAGGATATCGGACCTGCCACAAACCTTTCAAGACTTGGTTGTGGTTGCCCGGCGTTTTGGCGTCCGATACGTGTGGATCGACTGCTTCTCCATCATTCAGGATTGTCAAGATGACTGGGAGGCCGAAGCCCCCATGATGCGACAGGTTTATGCCAACGCCGCCTGCAACATTGCTGCCTCTGCTTCGGATAGCCCTGAGGGCGGGCTCTTTCAGTCTCGGACTATCCAGGACGTTTGGCCTGGTGTCATCGTGAAGAAGTCGACGTTGGGTCATGAAGAGAGAGTCTACTGCGTTGACAGCATTTACTGGGACCGCAATCTGCTGACATCGTCACTCCACACCAGAGGTTGGGTCTTCCAAGAACGCTTTCTGGGACCGGGCAACTCTACTTCACCCTTGACCAGGTCTTGTGGGAGTGCCTCGAGGGGCACAGATGCGAAGGCTTCCCCAACGGAGTGCCGCTCTACGACTCGCCGAAGAGCATCGATCAGCTGTTGGTGCGTCCTGGAGGTATAGAGTATCTCGGGCGGCTACAAGACCAGGGCGGCAATTGTTATCGCGAGAATGCCATGGTTCTCGATGCCGTCAACCAGTGGTGCGATCTCGTGACAGCGTACTCCCATTGCCACTTCACCAACCCCGAAGACAAGCTGTATGCTTTTTCAGGGATCGCAAAGTTCTTCCAAGAGATTACGGACGAGACGTACATCGCCGGCCTGTGGCGGTCGCGCATCCTGGACCTCCTCGGCTGGGTCATGACCAGGCCTAAGGCGAAGCCTTCAGGAGCGTACAGGGCTCCCTCGTGGTCGTGGGCGTCCGTGGATGGACCAGTTGAGATGTCCAAGCCTGTGCTGGGCGATGTCGAGCCGTTGCTGACCGTTCTAGAGGTGCAGGTCTCGACGAAGAGGGAAGAAGACAAGACGGTTGGCGTGACGGGCGGCTTTATCAAGTTGAGGGGAGCATTCATCACGGCTTCCTACACTCGGGATTCGACAAGAGCCCCTCGGCTCCTGCAAATTCAGCTTGACGACGGCGGTGGAACTCCGTTTTCTGCGTGGCCGTGGCTAGACACAACGGAGGTGCAGTTTGGCGAAGGAGGCGCCTTCGACTTCTTGGTTCTGCACAGTCTGGTCAGTTCCTCCGAAGGAAATGTTGCCAATGCGAAGGTGCCGAGGCTTAAGTGTCTTGTGTTGGCGCCGGCGAGCGAGGTGGACGGCACATATAGAAGGATAAGATGGTTTGCATTGAGGGACCAGGAAGCAGTCGATAGAGTCTTGGCATTCTGTAAGGGACATCCGCGAGAGGTGGTGCTTGTCTAGGTACCTGCCTAGGTAGGTAGGTACCTAGGTAAGATAGGTAGGTCGAGCCATCCTGTGGAACTACGAAGGTTTTGCTCACAGGCTGCAAGTGCTGTGCGATACTGCCAAGGATGCAGGTGCGAAACGTGTCGATGGAGATTGTGCAGGAAGGTGCGATGGGATGCAGGGACTTGAGGGATGCTGCAGGTGACGTCGGTCAAAACGGACGGCACTGTGGAGAGACGTGAGAGCACGATGCCAACAGGTCCCCGCTTAAGGTGGCTGGTGCGGTGATCTGGAAGGGCCGGCGGCCCGTATGCCAGTGACAGGGTCGACGTTTCGCGTGTGGCTTGCGCAGACACAGACAGACCCAGGTCTGCCAGCCACGCCATTTCTGTTCCGTTTCGCTACCCGTAGCCATTTCCCAGTCAGGCACGATCCCCCAGTTTTCCCCTCTTTCGCTCGCACTTGCCGCCCCGGCCAGGTCTCACTCGTGCGATCGACGACAATGGGAAGGCCCAGGGAGGCCCGGGGAGGCCCAGGGAGGCCCAGGAAGGCCCAGGCTAGCTAGAATGGTTCGCTGTGGAATCTGTGGAATGGTCCAAACAATGGCATGGATCTGATCGAACAAGACACACCACACACCACCAAAGATCAAAGAGCATAGGCCAAGCGCTTGCAGTGTCGACAGGCGCACGACATGGTACGGGATGAACCCTACAGGCGAGACAAGTCTCCAGGCACCTTCGCTGCCAGTAGCCAGGGTTCAGCACATGACGATAGCCGACGTCATACGCCGCTGGCCCAGCGACCGCGACCCTTTCTCCCATCATCCTGCATCCTGTCTTCCAGGACCTCCCTTGGTTGCATTCGCGCTTCGCACCACACAGACACTCTCATCTTGGGAGTCCCGTTGACGACAGCAATTTGGAGATTCAAAACAAAAACTGGGAACCATCCCTGCTGTGACTTGCCGTCCCTTGTGAAGAAGTGTGTTCGTCTGCGCGCGAAAATCTCGTACAGCCAGATCCCTACCCCCCCACGGCGCTGTTTGCTTGCACCTTGTTGCCAGCCACTTGATTTTGCGCTGCACCTCTGCCTCACCATCACCGCCGCCTGACCAGCGCCTGCAACCACACCATCTTCTCGGGCCCCCTCCTCCATCACCATACATAAGTCTGCCGTCTTCCCGTTTTCCCTGTGACCCCGCCCTCGTCCGTCGTCTGCTTTCCAACCCACCCACCTGCGCGCAAGTCGTCCGGCATCTCATCAGCTGAAGGCACCAACCCCACCTTCCCAGCGAAGCTTCCCAGCGAACCTCCCCAACGGACAAGACCTCGTCGACCAGACACAACCGCCGCCATGTTTCTCTTCACCATGTTCTTCGTCTTTTGGCGCATCCTCCAGATCCTCACCCTCATCCCCACCATGGGCATGCTCGCCTGGTTCGTCCACGGCTTCGTCGAGGCCAACGCCCTGACGCCCAACTACATCCTCGTCCTCTTCATCGTCTCCGTCCTCGCCCTCGCCTGGGCCATCTTCACCCTCTTCTCCTACCACCGCTCCTCGACAAACGCCACCATGGTCGCCATTGTCGACCTCCTCTTCGTCGGCGCCTTCATCGCCGCCATCTGGTACCTCCGCGGCATCCGCCTCCAGAGCTGCAGCAACGTCTCGCGCGACGCCAACTGGCGCGTCGACTTTGCCGGCCTCTCCCTCTCCGGCCCCGACTGGGACCTCAACACCGACAAGTCCTGCGCCATGCTCAAGGCCAGCTGGGCCTTTGCCATTATGAACTGCATCATGTTCTTCTTCACCTCCGTCCTCGCCTGCATGAACGGCGACCGCCTCGGCGCCTCCTCCTCCCACCACCACCACGACCGCAAGTCCTACCGCGACGGACGCTACCACGGCAGCCGCCGCAGCCACAGCCATCACAGCCACAGCCGCAGGAGCTCCCACTCCCGCAGGGTCTACGTTTGAGTGCTGATGGGGCGTGTTCTCGGGCGTGGAGATGGGCGCACTGTTTACGAAAAAACGGGCATGATACGAAAGAAACGCACAGCCATGTGATGACTACCATTTTTCATTTACGTTTGGCCATGGCGCTTGGATATATGGAGTCATGGGATATGACAAACTCTTTATTTTTGACGACTTTCCTACCGACCTCCTGGGTCCTGATGTCTTGCTGTTCCTAATGTCTATCCATCGTCCCTTTCTTTTCAGAGCGAGGAAACTCAGTCGCAGACTTGGCTGAGCCGGTCCTGACCGACGGTGCATGTATATCGACCGAATTCATGATCATATGACGAACAATCTCCTCGCCTCTTCGCCCATATAGTGAATCGTGCCCAGAGTGAATCATGCCCATTTTGTACGCCGACCAAATGTATATGTGTGTGTGTGTCCCATTGCCCATGCCCATCGTCCGTCACGCCCGCGATGCGTCGTCGCCAACCGTGTAACCCCGCGCCACACCGCTGCGCCCCTCCTCAATCGCCGTGCTCTCCTCCGCCGGGTCGTGGTCCGTCCCGAGACCCTGCCACGTGCGCTGCGACCGCAGGAATTCCGCGCCGGGGCTGAGCACGCCGTTGATCGTCGCCAGATCGCCCGCCTGCCGCTTGACGAGCGCCTCGGACGGCCGATCCAACGTGGCGCCCGCCGCGTCCGTCTCGGCAGGACCGTCGGCCCGCGGCTTGAGGTGGCCGCCGACCGCCACCTTCATCGGGCGGCTCGCGACCAGACGGCCCGTGCGGAGGTCATACTCGGGCGGCGCCGATTCCTCGCCCTCAACCCCACCCTCGACCTCTTCCGTGTCGTCCTCCGCAGCAATTGCCTCGTCTCCGCTCGCCGGGGCCCTGACCTCCTCCTCGGGCTTGAGCTTCTCGATGCCCGCCCACCACTCCAGCCCCCAGATCCTCTCCTCGGGCGGCAGCAGCGCGACTTCCATCTCAAACGGCGTGATGACGGGCCGGTAGAAGCCCGCGTCTTCCTCGACGAGCCCGCTCTCCCAGCACCCGACGACGACCCAGCCGTCGACCTCGGCAAAGTTGGCCAGCTTGGCCGGGTTCAGCTTGCCGACGACAATCGTGTAGCTCTTCTTGCCGGCGGCGGCGATGCGCGCGCGCAGCAGGTCGAGCGAACGCAGCGAGCCGTCGAGGGACAGCGTGTTGACGAGGATGCCGACGATGCTGGCGCTGGCGAGGGTCAGCACGCGGGCGAACCGCCGGCGCAGGAGGGCCGCTGTGTGGACGGTCGGGTCGTCGGTTGTTGGTGTTGCCGTCGCCGTGGAGAGGACGTGGAGGGATGCGAGACGGGTCTGGAGGGCCAGGAGGAGCGCCGGGGGCGGCGTCGATATGTGGAAGAGGGCGTGTGAGGGTAGGTCCAATTCGGTTCGAACGGAGGAGAGTGCTCGGCTGTTGATGAAGTGTCGTCCGCCGTCGCGATACGTCTGTTGGGGATCGTGCCGGCTGGGTCGTGGACCACAGTGGTGTGGACGAGGTTGGTGTAGCCACGGGTACGCAGCAAGTTGGCTACGTCGAGGACGTGGTCTTGGTATGTAATGTCGGCCATGAGTATGACCTTGGCCGCCTTGTCGGGGAACGTGGCCTCAAATTGGGAGGCAACTGCGTCGTGGTCGAGGGCGTGGTGGGTGAAGACGTAAATCACAGGCAGGCGGGAAGTCGGGGAGAGACACGAGCGGCCGTAGTGCACAACGACTTGGGCGTCGGCGTGTTCGGCAGCAATCTCGTCGACGCAGCAGGCGCTATAGGAGGTGTCGGCAAGGATGTAGATGCGCTCCGTTTGCGAAGTCTGAGCCGAGGTCGTCGTAGTGAGGTCCGTCTCTGTCGCTGCCCCAGACGCCGCGGGTGCTTCCTGTTCGGCCTCTTTTGCGGGCGCAATCTCTTCTGCTATGGCCTTGTGCAGGGCTTCCACGACCCAGCCAGCGTCGCGAAGCATGTGGTCGGCAAACTGGAGGGCAATGCGCTTCCATCCCCCTTGCTTGATCTCCCGCGCAGTGCGGCGGATCTCGTAGAGGGACAGCAGCTCCTCGTCTGTTCGAGCATGGATAGGCTCGGTCTCGGGAGACGTCGTGTCGGGGGTTGGGTCTTCGAACATGTGCTCAGCCGGCGTCGAGAGGACCGGCGCCGCAGAAAGTGTGGCGGCCATGGTGTGAGCAGATGGTTCGAAGTGAGGGTGGCCTGATGCTTGTGAAGGAAGAAATTGAAAGGGCAATCGCCAGTCATCGCGGGGCAGTCGTGATGGGACGTGGCGGGGTAATTTTTTTCAGTGGAGCCTGCCGTGATGGGTGATGCGCGCTGCGCGCCGCCGTGGAACAGCCAAAACGGCCCCGCCACGGCGCGCCGGTCGCCCACTCCGCGTCTCCTTTTTGGTCATCACGTTTGGGTGGCTGTTTCCCAAGGATTCACGTCAGCAAACTTGCTCCCACATTTCAGCTTCGATCGTTTTTGGTATTTTCTTGACGGTCTATTGCTGTTGAAACAGTTTGCCTCCCAAACACTTGCTTCCATCCCCTTTACCACCCCACCGCCATTGTCTGGCCTGCGTCAACCGTCCGCTGAGGCCGTGAGCCTTTGCTCCATTTGAACTACCTGTTCTGGTCATCTGAGCCTGGAGACGACTTCGCCTCAGATTGGATGAGATGATATCCCTTAGAAGACCCTCTTGAGACTCCAGCCTACGGCCAGGACTCTCGCCGCCATATAGCAGCCAAGGGCAATGACATACGACAGGCCGCCAAATGCAATGACGGCACGCCATCCAACATCGGCGCGCCCGCCTGCCTCTAGAATCGCGCCGGCAATGGGCAGGCTGCTCAGCGTTCCGAAACTGGCCACCATCATGGCCGTCGACAGGAACCGCCCGTAGTCACGAGGGTCACACAGCTGTCCCAGGCACACGGGGATCAACCCGAGGTTGCTGCCGCTGGCGAATCCAAAGAGAACAGCAAACGCAATCAGCATCGACTCCGAGTCACCCGCCGGCAACCATAGTCCGAAAGTCGTGACGATGCACATGGCAATCGTAAAGATGATGACGTTGAACCGACCAATCTTGTCAGCCACGAAACCCGGGATGAAACGGCCGAGGGCCGACCCGGCGTTCATGATCGACAGCAGCGTGTACGAGTCTGTCGCGTTGCCCGACGCCGAATACCGTGCCGCGTAGGACACGATGTACGTCAGCGGCACAAACAGCCCCCACTCCATGAAGAAGATGCCCACCGCCGAGATGGTGAACTTCATGTCCTTGAACACGCTGAGATCGGGCCAGACCGACGTCAGCTTGTCCCTGGGAGGCAGGCGGGAACGGATGAACAAATTCGCAGGCACCGCCAGTCCCAGTAGGATGAAACCTAGGATGCGCGCCGTCCATCCGAATCCGAGCTTCGGAAGAAGCTTCTGCAGCAAGACAGGAAACACGATACCACCGATCGAGCCGGCCGTAGCCGCGATGCCGGTGGCGAAGCCCCGCTTGACGTTGAAGAAATGAGCGATCGCTCCGTACGCTGGCGTGTTGAGGAGCGCACCGCCGAGACCTCCCATCACCGAGTAGGAGAGCATGATTTGGTAGTAACCTATACATACAACTTAGCCTGGATCCTTCCCTGTGTACAACATATGGGCCTTCCTACCTTCGCACACGCTGAGAATCAGCAAACTGCCCGCCATGAGCACGCCACCGATGGCGACGACGAGACGAGGCCCGTACTTGTCAAAGACGGGCCCCACCTGAATGCCGACGAAGAAGACAACAAACAGGTATAGACTGAAGATCCATCCAATCTCCGACGCTGTGTAGTCGGACAGTTGATTTTCAGAAAAGTAAGACTCAAACACGGCAGCCGTGTTGATGAGTCCGAATACGGAGAGCATGGCACAGAACGAACCGAACACCACGAGCCAGGCCTGTAGCCCGCCCTCGGGGAACTCGAGGTTCGTCTCGGGCCTCGTCAATGCTGCCATACCGGGAAGGTCTCCATAGCGGAGAGCCGGGTCCTTCTCGGGGTCATGACCATGGCCGCCGTGGCCGTGGCCGTGGCCGTGGTCGGAGCCATCATGGCTTTCACCCGCTCCCGAAGAAGAAGTCCCGATCCCTCCCCTCGAAACCTCAATGGCCTGTTCCGGCGAACCGGAATGGTTTTTTAGGCAGCTGTCCTCTGCATTGCAGGTCTTGTATGTCATGGGCGACAAGTAGTCGGCGTCTTCACTGTTGCTTGACCACGATCCTGAGCGCGGCTTGTCCGTCGGTGGAAGTCTCTTGAGACGATGTTGATGGAAGAAGAGAAGTCTCTTGAGGGCCATGGTGGGCGACAGGCCTGAAATTTATTCTTCAATGCGCTATGAGGGGGGGTGGAGAGGAAGGGGGGCGGCCGCGGCCAAGAGGCTAGCGGCGTCCAGGGGACGTTTTGCCGATGCGTGCAGGCGTTGGGCTGTCGCTGTCGATCGTGGGCGGATGGGTGTGTGGATGAGTGAGCAGCAACCACACATGCGGCAATCCTTCAAAGGCCGAAGACGCGAGGACCTGAAGGGCGCGAAGACGCTATGCTGTTAGGGGCGTTGGTGATGGGGAGCCCGCTATGACTGGGCAAACGCCTAGAACTAATGCAAGCCTGACGAAAAGTTTTCCCTGAAAGGCAATCGATGACCAACACCTATCGACACAAGGCGACGAGGACTCGATACTTTATTTACACCACCAATCCCTTATTTTCCAACGACACAAAAATGGTTGGTTACTCGATCGACATCCGTACCGACCCCTTCAGTCTGTTGACATCTGTTCCCGAACCTGTCATACTTGCTGCCCGTTCTCTTTCGCTGTCATGAGAATCGCGAGCAAGCGCACCGGTCGGGCGTCCCTCGCATCTTTCGCTTAACGTAACAACTGCCGGCCGGTTACGTGCCGTTTGTCTGAGACCTCTCATCCGTGACGCTGTCTCAGACCGGATGCGGCCGCCCCAGCTGCTCGGAGGCCCCCGGCCCAGCTATTTTCACCTGCCCCGCTCTCCGACGCCGACAGTCTGGGTTTGCAGCCACCGAAGCCTGCCAAATCTGCGCCCGCCCTCCATGTGCGGATCGGTCCGCGGGAACCCGCTGGTCGCAATACATCCCACGCGCTTGGGCATGCCACCCGACGCCGACGGATGAGGGCAGCATCGCAGATATCTCTACAGTCCGACTGTGTGTACAGGGGCTGTGGCCTTGTTCAATTTGCTTGGTAGGTCGTCCGAGATCAGGCCCACATGAAGGCGGCTGCTGGGCCCATACCCTTGTGCTGCTCCGGGACGAAGTTGGAGACACAAGAGGGTTCATTGATTTCGAGGCATCTCTTTACGAGGTTAGCTCGCATGGTTGTTTACGGCCTTCAGGTGATCAATGCTTGAAATCCCGGCCCCACAGTGATGGTGCCTGTCGAGTGACCCGAAGTTGGCGTGACGAGAAGTTTTCATTAGCACTTTCATTTCATGGTGGTCGCCAGCGACGTGGTCAAGTTGACGGCATGTCTGCTTGCAGCATGCCTGACCGCCATCTCATTGCGACCAACGCGCTGAAGGGTGCAGCACGGCTTCAATGAGCCTAGTCTGTCCTGCTGGCACGGCCAACAACGGATTGACACATTTCTTTTGACTGACGCTGCATCATTGCATCCCCCCAGGTTAGCAGGCCCAGGCATGAAGGAATCGGTATCACCAAGAAATGCACGCGGGAGAGTGCCTGCCACGTCAAACAGACTCCCTGGTTGCAAATTCCTTTCTACCAAAGCGATCCTATTCACACAAACATCACACTAGTCAACGGCCGGCGAGTAGCAATTGCAGCAGACGTTGCCGTGCTACAAGCTAGTCAAGCAGTCGGACCCTTTCTGAATGCCGACCAATATAGCGTTGATGTAGGAGCGTTGTAGTGCTACAGGCGTGAGAGTTTGCTCAACATGAGACTTCCGTATCCAGTCTTTGGTAGGCCTATGGTGGTGGCAGGCAGAGAGCGTAGCAAAACCATTGAATCGAAAGGTGCGCCAGGGTCAGACGCCGGAGGCTGCTATGATCGGGCTGAGAGTTCAAAGATGGTGTCTCTCGAGAGGTCCTTTCGCGGTTCACACCAGTTGGCTCCACTGGACAAGAAATCACTGAACCAAGTGGTGCTCTGGCGGTCAAGGCATCGGGCAGATAGTAGCGAGGGACGGTGCAACTTGTCCCCGTCACTCTGTCAACTCTGACCGAACTTGGATGGCGTCTGTCTGTCGATTCCATGTCGTCTGCCGATGGGGTTCGGTTCGTTGAAGCCTGCTGTAGCGACCCCGAAAGGGGTTCGAGACCTTGAGACCAGTGCTGGGCCCTGGGTTTTGACATCATCAAGCCCGCCCCTGACGTGGAGCGGTCATGCCTAGAAGCTCTATCCTTAGCCGGGCACGGCGCGATGTGACCCAAGGTGGCAATCCCAGTCGATAGCAGCGCCGTGACCTACGAATCAGCGCTCATGGCGTCCAGCATTCGGGTTGCGCCTTCGACGTAGTCTGAATTGAAGGATGGACAAAGCTTCAGTCTATTCCTTGATGATATCGTCCACCTCGTCTAGCCTGCCCGTCCCAGTCTCCTTGAACTTGCTTGACGCAACGTCGCGGACTATTTACGCCTCCTGTTCCGGGCGAATTTGCCTTCACTGCGTCATAAGCGCTTTCCATTGCAAGGGTCTGAGAACATGCCATCATCGGCCACGAACGTGCGCTGAGTCCAGGAAACTGGTCTCGGTCAAGCATCAACCATAAAACGCGGGCCTGCTGCGTGCTGGTCCTCTGCTCTCGACCACAAGCAGTTCAGACTCGCTTTCATCTGCTGCTCACCTTTGATTTGGAACCCGGTCACCATGAGATTCACATTTGTGGCAGCCCTAGGCTTGGTGGCCAGCGTCTTCGCGACGCCCCTTGCCAAGCCCTTCGACACCCATCCTGAGAAGCGGCAGCTCGAGTCGCAGGCCTCGGTCATTGAGACGCTGCGTCAGGAAGTCATCAGCCAGACCACGATCATCAGTATGCCGCCACAACCCCTCCCCAAAAGAGGACGATGCAATGCCCGATGAGAATCTAACCTGCGTAAACAGACGCATCACTGGCCGATGCGTCCGAGGACCCCGGCCAAGCAGAAGTTAGTGCCCTCGCGGGGGTCATCAACCCGGCCCTGGAGGCCATCACCGCCGCCATCGGCTCCGCCACGAGCAACGTCAACAGCGGTCGTCGTCTCCAGCGCCAGGAAGACGGGGAGGAAGAAGAGTCTTGCGATGCGCAGTGCCTGACGGAGAGGGTGCTCGAGGTCGTGTACGAGATTGTCAGCACCGTGCGGGCCGTCATTGAGCGCATTGGTCTCGGTATGTCCTACATGTTCCTGGCCCACTCGAGCTTGCTTCTCCTGCCTGGCCATGATGCTAACGCAGAAAAAGGCCCCGTGCTGCTGCGCGTCAACCCGCTGCTGCTGGCCCTCAGCGCGTTGGTGCTGGCGCTGAATGTGCTTGTCACCGGCCTGTTGGTCACTGTCACTGCTGTCGTCACGACGGTTCTGGGTGGTCTCGGTCTCGGGCTGCTGCTTTTGGGGTGGGGCTAGAGGATGCGGGCATCTTGTGTCTGCTAGATCGAGGTCCAGGAAACAAACAGGACGAGGGGACGAAGTAGGGAGGCTTCCCCATTGGCTAAAATCATCTGTACATGTCGTTTCGTATGATTTTCGTTGCACGGAACAATAGACTGGCACGTCTTGAAAGGGCTCTTGTCGTGCGAGGGTTTGATCAATGGGCGAGAGGCGGGGTCCCTAGAATCCAAGGCTTCCCCTCCCCCCCCCGAGTGTCAAAACGCCACGGGCATGCGAATGGACGTGGTCGACAACATGTCATGTGCGACGGACCACGGGGCCAGAACAGCAGCGTCCTGTCGTCGGACGAGATCGTGTAACCCCCCAGAACGGGCAAACCGGTCCCCTGGCGTTGGGCGCCTCGTCTGTTGTTGCCAATGAGGTGCCGCATCATCGCCTTGGTGCCGCATCGGTGACACTGTGGGCTCGTATCACCGTCACGGGACGCTGCTGCTCCTGGGGGGCAAAGGCACAGGCGATCGAGAGGGAAGGGAGTGAGAGAGAAGGGGGTGAGAGGTTGGCCGGTGGTACGGCCGTGGTGCTCGATCGCCGTGGGCAGATCTGCTGGGCCCGTCTTGTGGTTGTACGGGGTTTGGGGGTGAATGTGTCTGCCTTGTTGAGGGTACTGGGCCACCCTATACGTGTGACGGTTGCGGGGGTGCTGTAAAGGAAGATGGGGGGCAGACGTGCAGTTCGGCGACGCTGGGGCGTCGTTCGGCGATCAGGAGGGAGGCAAGGAGGGTTGTGGTTCGGGGCAGAGTCAGATCAGATGGTGTAGATTGTCGGCTGTCGGGGGTGTGAGCAAACGGCCAGCCGATTTGTCTTGCCCAGATGGATGTGTTGGCGTCTCTGCAATGTATTCGCTGCAGCGGGGAGAAGGCCAAGTCTACGACGACGACATGACGCAGAGATGGTATATCTCGGCGAAGGACCGGTGAGGGGGGAGGGCGTCGGGGCTGAGTTTCGGAGCAAGGAGCAGGAGCGAGCACGAGCAACGGCATCACGTGTTTCTTACCTAAGCAAGAGGTGACAGATTAAGTCACACTCCGAACTCGCCTCACAGAGGTATCTTGGAGACAGACCCTAGCTTCAGAACCCTCTCAACACCACTTTTCTGGAGTAAATGCTCTGAAATTCTACGCTCTGAATAATCGGAGATACAATTAGAGACCAAGCAGTGCTTCATATTTTTGGCCAATCTAGAGTATGGTTTAACTGTTCGATGTGAGCTCATCTTTATGAGTGACTTCCAAGGCCATGCCGGGATTCCCCACTTCACCTGCGTTTTGCTCGAACAAACCAGACGAAGGCGCCAAGACGACCGTTATCGCCGTTGGACACGGTTGACACCGTTGACACCATTTCAGCCACGCGCCTCCTCGAAAGCCACCCTTCATCGGCCGCTCCGATTTTAGCTTTCGGCCCCATGAATCGCTCCCGTGCGGATCACCCACGTCGAGGTTGATGTAGATATCCCTCAGCATCCGCAAGCCACATACGTGCCGTCTGTCTATCCGACACTGGAAGCTTCGGCGACGTCTCTTTTTGGGAAGACACTTCTCTCTGGGAAGACACTTCTCTCTGTGAAGACACTTCTCTCCGAGAAAACACTTCTTGGAAAGACAGGAAACTGCACACGCGCTGGCCGAGCCTCACATCCGCTGGAGACGGAACAGAAGAATGCCAGCCTTCGACCAGCCACCACTCCGAAGAACCCACCGCCCGTGGCGACCCCCGGCCATGAGCGTCTTCTAGGATGCCTGAGTTCAGATTCATCGCCTCGGACACGTCGGGCGGCAAGCTCCAACCCGCCGACAAGGAGGCGCGAAGCCATGCCATCAAGCAGGGCCTGCAGCGAGGCGCCCAGGCCCGCTCGGAAACCGACAAGACGAACCGTCTGGCCCAGGACGCCGCGAGCCGCAGGGCCAACCTCCGGGGACGCTTTCGACTCGCGGGCCCCCCGTCTGGGGCCGAGGCTCTGCGGAAAGCGGGCACGCGGGCTTACCAGCAGCCAGACTGGACTGCCTGGTTCAAGGTATGAGCGCTTGTCTACGAGAGCCTGGGTAGTAAACGTCCTCAGAAAAGACTGATGGAAACGCTCTAGAATGACCGTGCCAAGAGCAGCAACGCATCAAGGGGTCAGATGACTCCCTCCAAGTCGGTCCCGCGGCTCAAGGCCCACGTCATGGATCCCTTCAACAGCCTGCCGATTCCGAGCAGCCCGACGATTGACTCTCTTGCCAAGTATTGTACGTTGGAGCCCGAATGTCTGTCTTGGTGTCCTCGGTGTGTGAGGCTGACGGTGCATCTTCCGGGACCCTCAGTCGTCAACGGCTTCAGTCTGAACCTGACGACAGTGGACAAGCAGCGGCCATGGTTCCCCTACGCCATGCAGAGCGAGCTCGTCATGCGTGCGACGCTCGCCTTGGCCGCGGGTTTCTGGACCGCCAGTCTCCCCTCTCTCGACGCCAGGCTCCAGATTGAGGGCTACCGCCAAAAGGGAGAGGCCATGCGAGCCATCAGCAGCCGCCTCCAGACGACGGCGTCTTCGCGAGTGGCAAGCCGAGACACGTCGGTCCTGGCCGCCGTCGCTACTCTCGCCAACGTCGAGGTACGTCTTCCTGACCCAGAGCCCTTCTTTCGGCCTCGACTCATCACCTGCCTCAGGCTTTCCAGGGCGAATTTGCAGCAGCAGACATTCATCTGAGGGGCCTGTACGACATGGTCCAGGAAAGCGGCGGCCCAGACACCATTCGGCACGACTACATCCTCTGCCGTTGCATCAACTGGTGAGCAGAAACAATAAAAAAAAAAAAGCAGGCGCACTCGTTGAACCCTACTGACCACACCCAGGGTCGACGTCCAGGTAGCCTCGGGCCTCGGACGCATCCCCTTCTTCCCGACCTTCCACACCCTCGACCAGGTCGTCCTCCCGGCGCCCATCCTCCACCAAGCCGTCGTCCCGCCCCTGTCCGACCTCGGCATCGAGGAGGCCAACGGCTCGGCAACGGCCGCGTGCGTCCACACGATCCTCACGCTGCTCCGACAGGCCATCTGCGCGCAGACAAGCGACAGCGTCGCCGCCGACGGGATCCGCATCCTCATGGGCACGGCGGACAGCTGCATCCTCAGCTTTCTCTACGGCGAGGGCGCCGATCCCCGGCTGTCCTCGTCCTCCTCCTCCTCCTCGTCGTCGTCGTCCGCCGCCGACAAGAGGGTCCGCGCCCTCGTCCTGGGAGCCCACATCTTCCTCTACGTCGCCCTGCGCGACGTCCCGCCGACGAGCCAGCTCCTGACCATCCTCTGCTGCCGCCTGCGCGCGCTGCTGACGGATCTCGACGAGCCGCCGGCCGCCGCGTCGGCCGCGCGACCCTCTCGCTGTGGCTGGC